CATCTCTTACTTCTTAAACTCAAAATCGAAGTCGAATGCTGTTTTATGTCTAGGATAAGGTAACTTTGGTTCTGCTAGAAAGGAGGGAACGTGTCTACGAACGGCGAAATTTCCGTGAGTGCTTAATTGCAACAGAGAAAAATCGGAATTATCATTTGAGAACAGGCAGCTCTAGTCGGCTCTCTTAATCTTCTGCTAAAGTTCGATCATCTGGGCTCACATTTTGCAGTTCTCTTCTCACCAGATAGTTCTCATGAGGGAACAATGCACAGCAATTATATCTTACTTTTGGTAGACACTAAGTTTCTCGCCAAAAACCTCTCATTTCTTGTATGATCACGTGAGCTCAATTTATAACTATTTTAAACTTCTACTCTTCTTTAAACATATTATGAATGGTACTACCAGAAGGAAACTTTGTTTTGAAATCAGATATTGGATTGTGTATATTCTAATAAATGATTTCCACTCCTTCGGAAGACTTCGTTCGCTCAAATAACGCGCGCTATTCTAAACTGGGAAAGAATCCCAAGTGGATGAAGATAATGCTTTCAAGTATTTAAGATGTACTTCAAAAGCTGCTATGTTTAGATTGATTCCAAAAATAGTACGCTTGGCTAGTGTCTTTGATTTAGGTGAAAATCCAAAGCTATAAGGTAGCTCGAGCAGGATTTTATGCCTGTCATGATATAAGAATATGAAAATGGTTTGGCTTCTTGGAAAACTTCTTATTTTTAGTTAACAACATTGACAACAATAAAAAGTTGAGTGAAATCTACAAGAAGAATAAGGCAAAGACGAGTTGTAAAGAAATTTTCAAGATTTCCCAAAAAACCGTCCTGGATCTTGTCAAATGCCGTTTTTGTTGCAATTTTCAACAGATAAGCTTGTGTTTGCTTTTGAGCTTTTTTGATTTAGCATCACACCGAGTAAGTTACAAAAAAACCTTGAAATCTATCAGAACACATTCCAAAAACTCCGATGCTGTTTACGAAAGTCTGAACACGATAAGCACATCAGACCGGATATAGTGTGAACCTTGAGATTGCCAGGCACGAAGAGGCATTTGTTCATCCATCCATCCATCCAACCATCCATCCATTCCCATCCAGCTCGCCCTTCTTCGATCGATTCTTCACCGTATCTGAAGAGAACTGGTTGCTGTTGCTGCTGCTGCTGGTGGTGGTGGTGTAGGTGGCGCTGGTATGGATGGAGCCGCCATGCGTTGTGCTCAGCAAAAAACTTGGACTACCGTTGCGCAGGGCATTTCCATGTTTGGGGGGCGGCCCTACAGCGATGAGGGGTGAGAAGTTATGACGCTCAGCTGAATCCTTAGAGAATATTTTGAACATAATTTTTGAATTCAGAAATCCAGTTTAGAACCATTGCAGAGAGATAGCAGGAAGCATGGATTGGAATCAAAAGTCTTAGGCCAATCTCTTTTCGCTTATTTAAGCCTTTAAATGAAGAATGCAGACCTCAACATGATCGATCAAACAAATGCGAGCCAATGCTGGGAAAAGAACCATGTATGAGCACATGCAGAAGAGTTTCTATGCAAAAAAAGAATTCTTTATCCAAATTGAACGAATCGACGCTTTAAGCAAAGATGGGTCAGCGTGCTATTCTCTGAGAATTTGCTTCGAAGCTCTACACGAACAAGCTTTTCCTACGCTTATGAAACATAACAAAAGCTGGTTTAGCTTAGTGGGATCTTTCCAGAATAGTAATTGATATTGATGAGCGAGCTGCATGATATTAGAGAAAGAGGACTATTTCAGATAATTGAGCTATCCGTAACTACTTGAAATCAGATTATAAAAGTTAAATAAGGAATACCGCTAGCTGTCAGCAACTGTACGACTTGTGAGTAGTGATTTCAGTGTTTTTGCATCTTTTTCTAATCTGTTTTGCCAAGAAGATTTCAACTCCGAATGCATCACAGTACCCTGAACAGCTTTGGAAGTGGTTTTGCATAATTTTAATAAGATATAATGATAAATTAGAATAAAATGAATTTTTCATTTTAGTGGCTGAGTGTGGCTCATCATACAAACAACAAAAATCTCTATCCGCAAACAATTCGCTTTTCAAAACTTTCTAGTCTGCCCTTATCAAATCATTCCTCATTTACATCAGTTACAGCTGAGATTGCTCTTTTCTTCCAAAAGCTAAACTTATCGTTGTAAATTAGAGCTGCAGATATCCACATGTATTGTGCAAATTCACAGGATGCACTCAAGTTCGAACGATCACATTGATTCAAGCTTAATTGTAAACTTCAACAACTGTTACTTTCTCCCGTGTGACTGAACCGCAATTTCAATAAAACAAACTTTAGACAGGAGAGTAAAACACCCTTAACCATGCATAAATGGAAGCCTTCAACCTGTTATGCATCCTAAAATGAAGTA